GGGCCTGGAAGCCCCGTGGAGGACCTGGCTCAGTGTGGGGCCAAAGGAAAGATGGGAACACGGGACGACTCGGCTTCGGGTTTCCGAGTGCGACGTCGGCACAGTTGTCATTGATGAAAACACCTTGGACAGGTTGACTTCCAACAGAGATGGTCCCTCTGGGCATGTGCGGGACCCGGGAGATGCAGAGAGAGGTAGGATGGGGGGGCGTGGTGGGGACTTCACGTGGGCCCTGGGTCCCTTCGAGGCGCTGCCTTCACCCCAGCAGACGGCCCTGTGCCCTCACCCTCGCGTCCGGGGCTCACGGGTCCCAGTAGAAACAACCCAGGGCCTGCCGGGCCCCAGGGCGGGGTCGGCTGCCGGGGGTGGATGTGAGATAGCGAGTCAGAGCCGACCTTGTTTTCCTGCCGAAGAATCGAGATTGTGACTCGCAGCTGGGTCTTTACTTTTGGAAACAGAGGTTTGACTGCGCTTCCCACATGGTTTATTGCCACGTTTCCGAGGGTCTTGGAGAGGGCCTGGCGCGCCACGGTTTGATGGCGGCTCCTTGCTTAGCCCGTCCCCGCCCGGCAGCCCAGAGGACGGGCACAGCCCCTGGGGCCGCCTCTGCCGCAGTAACGCCCCTCGGTCCATCGTGGCCGGACCAGGGGGAGCACGCAGGGGCTTTGTCCCCGGCTGCGGGGCCTGCGATGCCATGGCGACCCTCCCAGGTCACAGAGCCTGTGTGGGACCTCCTTCCCCTGTGACAGCAGTGACACAGCTCACCATTGCCAGCCCCGCCAGCTGAGCCATGGCCACACGGGCGCCGGCCGGTCTGTTGCTGGCCACGGGCCCGCAAGTGATTATATTCCACGGAAACTATGAATTTCTGGGCCTCCCTCTTCCAATCTGCCGTTCCTCGAAAATCAGATTCTAAACGGGCCTCCTTTTTATTTTACTTTTTTTGCTTTTGATCATCTGAGTGTTGCCTAATTATAGAGCAAACCACAAAAAATTCCATGACTGATGAAGACAACGTGTGTAAAAATTAAGTAATCAATTCTAAGGAAAAATAAAACCTCACAGGGCGAGACCCGGGACAGACGAGAGCGCAGGCGACACCACTGCGTTGGAGACGCGCGTCCTGGGCCTGCGGCTCCGGTCAGACGGCTGCTCTAGGCGCGCGGCCCCAGCGGGCTTGCCTGGGACCCCGACTGCCCTAGGACATAATCACTGGATTTGTAAACTGAGGTCAGCGCCCCGACCTCCCAGGACCCGGGTGCGGCTCAGCTCGCGCTGCAAGGCGTGCAGTCACGGCGCCTGCCGGACGTGGCCGCTGGTCGGCTCCTGCCTGTTGTCGGTGGGCCCTCCTGGACAAGCCATTTGCGGTCTTGTCCCTGAAACACCTTTGCACGTGAGGGGCTCTGCACGGAACCGCCTGCAGGAGCGGTCGAGCTTCCAGAGCCCATCAGCTGAGACGATGCGTGGCCGCCTGAGGGCGATGCTGCAGGAGGCGGCTTGCGCTTCCTGTGCCTGAGAGCACCACGCACGGCCAGCGAAGCAGCTCCGAACGCGCTGGGCTCGCCCGGTCCAGCGCCCGGCCGGGTGAACGCCTGGGCAGCTGAGCGCTCCGGGGGGGAGGTCATGGGCCTCGGCCACGGGAGAGCCGCCGTCACACCTGGCGATGGGGTGGCCGGCGGCCGTCTTCACTGTGGGCACTGCTGCAGCAGACGCTGAAGAAACGTGATTCTGAGGAGTGAACGTTTTTAGAGTTTTTGGATAAATGCCCAGAAGAGGGGTTCTGGGTCTCACGGTGGTTCTGTCGTCAGTGTTTTGGGCCCTGCCCCCATGCGGAGTTCAGCCCTTCTCGCCCTGGGTGTGACTGGGGCACCTCTGCCAATGCCCGTGGGCTGTGTGTGGGCCTTCCCGGGAGCCGTGTCGGCTCAGGGGGCCGCCCGTGTTTTAATCGGACTGCGTTGTTGTTGTTGAGTTGTAGGGGTCCTTCATGAGCTTGCGGCGTTAGCCCCTTAGTGGGGGTGTCGTTTGCAAGCACCTTCTGTTCTGTTGGTGCCACGTTGTTTTGCGGACAGTTTCCTTTGGTTTTTCTCAGCAATGTTTCTTGTTTGTTTACAGTGTCTTAGACCTATTTTCATCAATTTAACCCTAAGAATTCCCTGTTTTTGTTGTTATTGCAGGTTACATTCAGCCATTTAACCTTCCCGTTGTTTTTGCTAGTGTACAAACACACACGGGAATTTTGCATGTTGACTTCATGGCTCGAGACTCTGCTGTTGTCACTTTTTAATTCTTGCAGCTTCTTGGTAGAGGCTTTAGTATTTTTTAAAAAACGCACAGCCCCACTGTGTGTGATTAAGGACAGTTTTCCGTTTTCTCTTTCACCTCCTCGTGCCTTTCAGACCGTCCCCTGCGTGGTCTGGACCTGCGAGCCGAGGGACGCCAGCGCGCGGGGCTGTGTGTGGTCTCAGACCGAGGGCGGCCACTGTTTTTATTGCGCTGTTACCTGTGAGTGTGACCTACAATGCTCTTTGAAACACGGGTGGTTCTCCATTCCCAGTTTCCTGAGAGTTTTGCCATTTAGTGAATGAAGTGGTTCATCTTAATACAAGTGAACGCCTAAGTTTTCTTTTCCTAAAAGGGGGTGGCTTCCCTGTTGCCGAAACGTCCCTGTGGAGGGCGCAGTGCTATCACCGCTCCCTGTGGCGCCACCGAGTGTAACCGCTCGCCTCTGGACCCGTCCCTGCGATTCCGTGTGCTGCTCCGTCCCGCCTCCCCAGGCCGCTCCCGCCCGGCCCCGCGGGCCCGCTGGACGGTCCTCCGAGGTAGCCAACCTGGCGCGAAGCTGTTTGGCAGGTTCCCACCGTTTGCGTGGCCCCCGGAGCCGTGGGCCAGGTCGGCTGGACGCACCGGACCGGTCCTTCGCGCCCGCGCCGTCTCCTCCGCCTCGCGCTGCGCGGCCGGCCCTGCTTTTGGAAGGATTGCCAGAGAGTTACATAAAGCCTTCGGCCGGGAACGTTACATTCACTTGCAGCCTCTTTGTGACTCGACCCAGAGAACTGGAGGAGGGCGCGCGGGGGCAGAGCGGGCAGCCCTGCCGGCCGGTGCCGGCACCCCCGGGGAGACGGGTGGGCGTCGCGGGCACCAGCAGCGTTTTCCCGCTGCGCTTTGCAGAGGGGTTTCATGCCATTCTCTACAAGCGAGGCACTTCTGGGAAAACAGGACGTTCCCGGAGCAGGTTATTATGTGGATGAAGGGGTGCAGCGCCCTTTGACAAGTAACAGCCGTGAGGACCAGGCCGCGACCCGCTAACTAAGGGCCGGCGACGCGCCCAGGAACACGCATGATCACACACCCATCGTGGGAGGCTGGGGCCGGAGACGGGGCCTTGCCTTGCCGCGTGAACGGAGGCTGGCGTGCAGCAGAGAGGGCCCGCGTCAACATGTGACCAGGACCCGCCCCGCGCTGCGGGCCTCCTGTGTCTGTGGCGGAGGACGTGGGGTGGAACACGCGCAGTTTCGAGCACCCTGGTTTCTCTTTTAAAGCCTCTCGGTCTCCTACCTGTTGGAAGGCAAACAATAAAGCCCTGAGTATTTCCGCAAAGCTATTAAGGAGTCCGCGGAGCAGGCAGGCAGGCAGGCATCTGGCAGCGCCGCGGCTCCCAGGCTGCTTCCCGCCCCCACGTGGCCCAAGTATCTGACGGCCATTTGTTACAATCTAAATTTTCTTTGCTTGGCCCGTTATTTGAACAAACTGTCAGGTGACATTTAAGTCACTGGTCTACTGCCAGCTTGAGATAAACTAATACCTTTTAATGGATATTTTGTTAAATTTGTGGAGGTAACTTTCTAAAAATGCAGAATTGTTATACGACTGTAGAACTAAATAGTAAAAACAAATGGGAACAGTAATCATGATTCTACTCAAATATATTTTAATGAAAAAATGCCGAGGCTGAGCATCTCCAAAAGGCCAGTTACTTCCCTGGCGTCGCCCATGGTGGGTGCGCAGGCGGGAGACCACGTGTCTGAGCCCTGAGCCGGGGCGAGCGCCCCGAGGACGCCAGGCCCAGCCCGGGGGCTTGTGCGAGGAGAGCAGAGGGGGCTGTGGCGTCGCGCGTGGTGTGGAAGGGGCGGCGCGTCCGCGCCTGGGCTCCGCCTGCCGGGGCTTCACGCCTCGGTTTTAGAAACGTACTTACGTTAAAACTTCATCTTCCACCCCCTGTACCCGTGACGGGTCCAGTGCATCACCCACATTTCTACGTCCACACGGCGTCCTTCCCGGATGCCCAGCTTGCCTGACGCTCACCTCGCGCCCCGGGGGCGGCCCCCACGCCCTGCGTTCCTCTTCCCACTGCCGTGCCCGGCTTCCCCTCTCCCTCCGGTGCCAACTCCACTACAGTATTTGGTCTCGTTGACTTGTTGCTGATGTGTCACCTCCCTGGGTGTGGGCTACAGTCACGGTCACGTGTGTCTCCGTGATGACGAGCTCCCGGAACATGGGAAGGCATGACCGGCGAGGTTGCTCTGTCCCCTCTCGTCTCCTTTCGCACGCGTGAGTCATGTGCTTTGTAGAGCGAGGGGGGCCCACGCCGCAGAGACCTGCGCGCCCTGGGGCGGGGGCCCAAGCTGGTGCGGACGGGCTGCTGCCTGGGGGCGGGGACCCAGCGGAGGGGGTTGTAATTGTAGTTTTAACACGGTTATCGTCATTTGTCTTTAATTTTTCTGACTTTGAGTCTAGAGTTTCTTTTTCACGTGTGTTTTCAGTAGCTAAGAACCAGTTGTGTCCTCAGCTCATTGGTAGAGCACCCCGCCGTGCGTGCGTGCGTCCGTGCGTGCGTGCGTGCGTCCCCGCGTGCGTGCGTCCCCGCGTGCGTGCGTCCCCGCGTGCGTCCCCGGCGGGCGGCCGCCCGCTCTGCCCGGGGCCGTGGCGTCGCAGGGCCGCACGTCACGCTCCGTGCGACTGGCGCCGGGCTGCGGCTCACACCCGCCTCTCCCTCACTGCAGCGTCCTCGTGCGACCAGGAGCAGCAGTCGGCCCTGGAGGAGGCCAGGCAGCCCAAGAACGACGACGTGGTGGTCCCCGAGTGCGCGCACGGCGGCCTCTACAAGCCGGTGCAGTGCCACCCGTCCACGGGCTACTGCTGGTGTGTGCTGGTGGACACCGGGCGCCCCATCCCCGGCACCTCCACCAGGTGAGCCCTCTGCGGGGGCGGGGCGGGAAGCAGGAGGGCGGAGCCCACGGTCCCCGCGCCCCGGCCTCGTCCCCGCCCCTCTGTGCTGGGTGCCTGCGGACTCCAGTGGCTTTGGCGATGGCAAACGAGAGGAAGCCGTCTCTCTGAAGGACACCGGGCACTGACCGTGCGGACAGCGGCCCGTGTAGGCCGGGCTTGCTGCTTGGTGCAGGGTGGGAGCGTGGAGCGTCTTGGCGGCGGCTCCCCGCGGCCCTGGGTTGGCAAAGCCGCCGGCATTTCACACGCTGCGGACACAGACTCTCCTCACGGCTCCCTGCGGTGTTGAAATGGGGGCTCCCGGAGTGCCCACGAGGAGGGCAAGCGCTCAAGGCGCAGAGGCGCCGCCCACCCAGGACCCCCTCTCCGCCCCCCCCCTTCGAGGGCACGGACTTTGTTCCCGGAAGTGCTGGCGGCTCCGGTCAGAGTGTTTTTGCCGCTTTTGTTATTTGAATTGAGCTCTGGTTTTTCTTTTTCTTTTCATTTTTAGATTTTATGTATTTATTTTTAGACAGGGGGAAGGGAGGGAGAGAGGGAGAAAAACATCCATGTGTGACTGCCGCTTGTGCGCCCCCCACTGGGGACCTGGCCTGCACCCCAGGTGCGTGCCCTACACTAGGAATCGAACTGGTGACCCCTTGGTTCGCAAGCTGATACTCAGTCCACACCAGCCAGGGCAGGTTTCCCATAAATTCATATGCAACTAGTTTACAAACATATCCAAATATCTCGCATCAGCCCAAGCTGCCCTGGATTCACCTCTGTGCTCAGGCCCCAGCAGCCCCGCGCGTCCTGGGTGACCCCCCAGTTGCTCAGGTGTGGCCGCCAGGCGTTCAGAGGGGGACATGCAGTGGTGCCGCGTCCAGGAGCCGGGAGTGCTGCCTCAGGGCACCGGCACCCACACCTGGCCGCCGTCCGGCTCTCGACAAAGCCCATCCCCCTGGACGCTTGGATTTGGAAATCAGAGGAGCAGGGTCCTGTTTGAAGCCGGGCCTTGGCGGCCAGCACGTCACCCATCGCGTCACCCACCTCAGCCGCAGGGACAGACGGGGAGCCCTGTGCGCCGCGCTCACGGTCCGCCTGGCCCAGCAGCCTCCGCGCGGGGCTCAGGACGGCCCGGTCCCCATGGGCCTCCATGGGGGGCCTCCAGCAGGCCGGCTGTGTGCGCGGGACTGGGCAGGATCTCTTTAAGGATTTGGGATGAGGTTTTCTTTTTTTGGGCTCCTTCTTGGGGAGCAGGGTTTCTGCACAGTTAGGAGCTCTGGGGCCTTTGTTCCCGCGGGGCCCTGCCTCTGGAAGGGGGAGATGCCGCTGGCCAGCGTTCCCGCAGAACCAGCCAGCGAAGACCCCCGGGCTGTCCAAGCCAGGCCTCCTCAAACCGGCTCCGAAGTGATGAGGTCGGCACTTACAACGTTAACCCCCAGAACCCATTTCATGTGATGATTGGACAGGAAGCACAGCCACCCCTCCTTCCTCCGGCCGACTCTCCGCCCAGACTGGCCGCGGCCCCTGCGGGAGCCCGGCACCAGCCTCTTGGGGTCCCGCTGTGCCCGCAGCGTGGGGTACGGCCCCCTCCTTTGAGTTTCAGACACAGCGTTACATTGGGAGGAGGCCGCTTCGACCCCGGACGGCTTTTCCTCTCATCCCTCCGTGGATTGGTCCAGCAGTCCGTCCGTCATCATGGATGCTGATGGCTGCACCGCCCCGCACTGGGGACCGAGCACGTGGCCTCCGCAGGCAGGGGCCCCCGCCCCTCCAGGGGCTGGCCTTCCCCTGGGGGGCGCCGGGGGGTGAGTGGGGTCCCGGCGGGGCTGTTGCCCCGGCAGCAGAGCCCCCACACTCCACTGGCCTTGATGTGTACCAGCCAGTGCGGCCCAGAGGACAAGGAGGTTCGGACTGTTTTGGCCGCTCAGGTTCAAAGGCGCACTTTTAATGAGCTGTCGTGTCCTCCTGCTCGGCTGCCTTGAACTTCCCAGCTCGCTTCGTGGCCTCTGCATCACCTGCAGCCGTGAAAGCACACGTTGTGCCTGCTTCTGACGGGAGCGCCTTCCCCACTGGCCTCGGCCCTCAGGGGACATCCTGCACTCTGATTGGCCAGAATGCCACCCCCTGACCAGGAGCAAACGGGTGGGCGTCTGCGGGAGGGGCCATGCAGACGGAGGGGGCAAAGGGTGCCCTCAGGCCTAGGTCGGCGTCGGTCAGCGGTGTCTGTGCTGACGTGGCAGTCTTTGCTTTCCAGCAGTGATAAAGTTACAAGTAGGCCTAAATAATGAGGGAACAGAGGACCTCAGGTCAGAGGTGCAGGGGTGGAGGAAGCTCCTTTTGGCTGATAACATGATTTGGTGAGATGTCACCGAGGACAGTCCCCCAAACCTCCACTCTGCCATCCTCACTGTCATCGGACAGATTTCCCTCATGATTACAAGGTGGCTGCAGAGAACCAGGCATCTCACCCAGACACCACAGTGCTCAGAGGACATATGGCCACCTCTCCCTTTCTCAGGAGCCAAGAGCCTTTCTGGAAAGTCCTTTTAGCTGATTTAATTCCTGGGTTATTGACCACAATTGGATTCTATGATGTGTCTAAACCCATCACTCGACAGAAAAATGGCATTGGCTTGCCCTGAGCTCCCGGGAGGCAGGGACCATCAGCGCATCCGTCGGCAGCTCTCGGGCTGCCGGCCACCCCTCCACGCGGGCTCTGCTGCGGTCTCTGCTGCGGCCTCAGGCAAAGAGGGAGGCCGCGCCGGGCCACTGCCCTGCACCAGTGCCGCCGCCTCAGAGCTGTTGTCCCAGGGTTTTCGCGGAGAAGCAGCTCCCGGGAGGGACTCTTTAGTTCTGGTTTGCATTTCGGTAGAAGTTCGAGGTTTTCTTTCCCTTGATCGTCCTCCATCTTACGTTTTCTGATGGGGAAAGGTAATTAAAGAATTGACACCGGTAATTAGCCGTGGCCCCGAGCCGCGTCGGTGCTGTAGGCTGGCTCTGTTTGCCGCGTCTCCGAGCTGACTCAAAGGCACGCGTTTTGTTGTCGACTCTTCCCAGCAGCTGAAACCAACGCTGTCGGGAGTGTGTCAGGGGAGCGAGAACAGTGTTCCCCAGCACAGGGCTCCGGGTTGGGGTCCCCGTTGGGGGAGACACGTGAGGCGGACGGGCCCGGACCCCTTCTGGCCACCCTGCTGTTCGGGGTCTAATCAACACCCTGGTGTGGCTTATGGCTGGGCCGCAGGCAGAGCCGGACACGGTGGTGCCCCTGCGTGCGTGGCGCAGCGGGAGCCGGGGCGGGCAGCTGCCTACCCAGCTGTGGTGGTGGCCGCTGCGCTGGACCCAGCTGCCGGGTCGAGTGTAGACAGGGCTGGCGGCCGGCGGCCGCATGAGCACCCGGGTTGAGGAGATTTCTCTTTCCCTCCCCCATGGCTGAGGGAGGCCTCGTCCAGCTGCCGTCAGACCGCGGGCTGTTCCCCGCACCAGGCCGGCCGGCCCCCTGACCTCCGGGCCCTGTCCCTGCAGGCGCACGTGGCGAGGGACGGGATCCCGTCTTCCTCGGCAGCGAGCCCGCCTCCTGCCGGGCCCCGGACAGCCAAGCCTTTGCTTTCTTCTTACACGAAGAGCGGCAGTGGGCTCAGCGCTGGGTCCGAGCTTTCGCTTGCGGCTTGAGGGCAGGCACTGCACGCCCTGAGGGGGCGCGTCTGCAGGGCACGGGCAGGTCACCGATGCTTCCGAAAGAGAACGCTGTCGCTCCGATAGACACTCTTACACCAGCATCGGGGCTGGGATTCCCGCCCAAACGTGGGGCAGCCGGGCAGCCGTGCTGTGTGCTCTCCTGCTGACGGCGAAGAGGTGCCCACTCCATCCAGCGTCACGAAGGTCTCTCCTGGGCTCGGGGGTGGCCGTGCCCATGACCGTGCGAGAGACAGAAGGAACGCCCTTTCACGCCTCGGCCCCGTTGACCTCTCCCTTCTCCCCCACTCGTAGGTACGAGCAGCCGAAATGCAACCACACCGCCAGGGCGCACCCAGCCAAGGCGCGGGATCTCTACAGGGGCCGCCAGCTGCAGGGTGAGTGGGCCGGGGGCGGGGTGTCGCCCACAGGGAGCTTCCTGTGGGTGAGGCATGCGGGGAGCTGCCGCGGCCCTGTCCCCGGCAGGCACCTGGAGAAGGCTGCTGCCCGTCCCCGCGGGGCCTGCGGGCGGGCGGGCGGGCGGGGAGCGCAGAGCAGTCAGCTGTGTGGTGGCGGCAGAGCTGGAGGAGCCCCACGTCTGAGACCCAGCGTTTCGGGGGTGGGGGGACGCGCTGCCCCTCCCCCGGACGCGCTGCAGCGAAGCCTCTGGCCCTCGCCGCCCCCATTCCCTCCCCCCACCCCCGTTCCCTCCCTGCGGGGACCAGGGTCTGAACGCCCTTCCTGGACGCTCCTTTCGAATGGGCTCAGCCCCTCCAGAGGCTGGAGCCGAGTTTCTATAAAACCCGAGTTCCAACCTTCAAGCCAGTTTAACAGCAAAGGTCTCTTGGAAAGGAAGCAGGCGCAGTGAGTTTAGTCTTACAACTATTAAAAACACACTCACTAAAGGATGGTTCACAGGCGACTCTTTCATCCTGGAGCCCACGCATGTTTGTGAAGCACCAGAAGGGTCACTGTGGCGTGGAAGCCTTTCCCAAGCACCCTCTCCCCCGCCCCCCGCCAGCCTTCCAGGAGCCACGTGTGTGAGGCCGGGGCCGGGGCCGGGGCCTGGTGGCTTTGACGGCATCTGTGAGCCCCCTCACGGCGCGTCGCTCTTCTGTTTCATTCGGGTTTTCCGTGTTTTCCTCTCGCTCTCCGGACCGCGTGGGCTCAGCCAAAGCCACAGCCGCAGACACCGGTTGGCCCTCCACACAGAGCACACGTGCGATCTGGGTTTTCCAAAGTCCGGACAAGTTCCTGTTCAGGAAAATCGTGTGGCTCTCGCCCTAGTTGTACTGTTGTTGATAACGAGGGTTTAAAGTCTGGCTTGTAGGGTGGTTTGCTGCTGATAAGGCAGGCGAGGAAGGCCCCAGCGGCCGTGGGAGCAGCTGAAGCACCCCCCTCACCCCGCCCGCGCATAGGACGCGGAGCAAGCCTGGGGCAGCGAGCCCCGACCGCGGCCCGTCCAAGGCCCCGCCGCTTCCGAATGCGTCCTCTGCGCTCTGGACCTTTCCCCGCCCGCGTCCCGCATGTCTCCCTGGGGAGGCGGATTCACGGCATCTGACGGTGACGTGGTTTGACTGCCTGGGTCTCCCCACTGTGTGCGGCCCTCGCGCGTCTGTGCCATGGGATCGGGCAGCTCTCTGCGTGTGGGTTGGGCCCGGGGCGGGAGGCTGCCTGCAGACGCGGCCATGGACCCCGCGAGGCCCCTCGCTGAGCGGGTCTCGCCCTCGGGACAGCTGCTCCGCCGCCCCGTGACCGCAGGGCTGCCTGTGTCCGCGAGGTCTCAAGCTGCAGAGTCAGGTCTGAGCCTGGCAGACCGCGTTGTTCTTCACGGGAGATAATGAACGGAGCGCGTGCCTGGTGCGTGGAACACCCTCAGTGAGTGTGTGTGGCCCTTATCGCGCTGTGCAAATGGCCAGCGGCCTGAGCCTTGTCCCCAGGCCTTTGATAAAACGAAACTGCGCGACCACTGAGCCGGGCCGGTGCGGCTCTGCATGTTCGCCTGAGCGCAGCTTTACTGGCATCCTGCCGAGCTTCGCGATCACCGGTGAAGTCGCGGCCACAGGCGTCGCCGCGACAGACGCCCTGGCAGCGGACGGCAGCCGCTCGTTGCCTCCCGTGGGAGCGCCGGCGGGGCGCTCGACAGAGGCTGCGACCCTGGGTGTCAAGGTTGGGGCGGCCATCCCTCCGGTGACCTCGGCTGGCCGTCGGTACTGAGGAACACGGACGGAGTCACGTCGCGCCTGGCTCACCTGGCTGTCGGACACGCCATCCAGTGAGGGACTGTGGGAGCCGGCAGGTCTCGGGGGCCTGGGGGGCCTGGGAAGAGGCCCGCGCCTACCCCGCTGACCCGGGGGCCCCGTCAGCTGTCCCAGCGGCGAGGCCTGCGCCCCTGGCACCTGAGGCACGAAGTGGGGGCCGCAGGCACGCGGGCGCCTCAAGGAGGGAGGCGGCTGCCGTGCGGCTCTGCCTGTTTGGAGAGTGCTGGTCACGCCGCTTCATCCTTCTGAGGTTTTGGAGGTAGTTGTCCTTATTAGGGAAAAACAAGTAGGTCCTAAAATAGCCCGAGAGAGAGGCTGTTCCTGGTCCCCAGGAGAAGCTTTTCCCCAAAATAGCCCCGCCGCTCGTGGGCGGTGGCCGTGCCCGGGCGCTGAGCCCTGCTCTGCTCGGCGGCGCCGCGGCTGCTGTCACCTTCTGGCGCTTTCTCAGCTCCAAACGCCGAGGGTCCTTCGCGTCCCGCGTGGGACTGGCGACCCCTCGCACACAGTCAGTCCTCTGTGCGGGGCTTTGTTGACGGACGCGGTTGTCAGCGTCCTGTTCAGAGCAGTTGGCAGGGGGACGGTCACTCTGCCTTTGAGGCCAGCACTTCGTCCCCTGGATGGGGACCGAGGCCCGGCCTCCCAGGCCGCTGCCCTGGCTCCCGGGTGCCGGTTCTGTGAGTCCCCTCGCAGGCCGCCGCGCCGTCTTGAGGGCAGCCTGGCCCCGGCGAGGCGGCGTTTCCAGGGAAGTCGTTTCACCCTGCCCGCCCCCTCTGCACCTCGGTCCTGCCTTGCTTTGTCCCCTGCCCGTCTCCTCCCGCCTCCCCGAAAAGACAAAGATTTTCTCCTAGGAGAAGGGGACTCCTGCATTGTTTATTCTCACGCAGTCACTCTGGGTAAGCCCTGGCTTCGCTTGCAAATACGGATGGAAAAAAATCGGGCCCCCCAGGCTTGCTTTCACTGCCCCAGAAAGGGTCCAGGGGCCTCGTTTTTCAGCATAGGGTTTTCTTTGTTTAGATTCGGCCGTAGTTTCTCATCTCATTCATCAAATTCTCAGCTGCGTCTACAGCTGTTGGCTCCGGTGCCACGTCAGATGCGGAGAAACCAGAGGAACGCGTGTCGTGGGGGCCGGCCTCCCGTGAGCTGTAGACGCGCCGCGCCGCGGCTTTCGTCCCGGAGCCACGGAGGCGGAGCTGTCCCGTGGCCTTTGCCTGCTGCGCTTCACGTCGGCCTCTGCGCTGAGATTGGTTAAAACCGGGACTTGGGCTTCGATGCAGATGTGCGGCCCGTTCGGCTGAGCAGGCAGCCTGGCTGCTGCCCGGCGCGGGGCTCAAGGGTGTGCTCTCGAAGGGGGTCCCTCCTGCCTCCCGTCCCTGCCAGAAGATGACACTGCAGAGATGGCGCAGCCTGGGGGCCCCGGACCCTTGGGGGGCGGCGGCCTCGGTCAGTGTGGGAGCCCTGAGCTCACAGGGCCGTTCTCCTCAGAGAAATGCCCGCTTCCCCCGCGTCGCCCCGGCAGGCGTTGTTTGGCTTTCGCTCTCGTTTTTGTGTTGCCGTGTCCGTGCCGTCGAGTGGTTTGGTGACTAGGACCCGGCCGTCCGGCCCCGTGAGGTTCTCCGGTGGGTCGCCGGCTGTGGGCGCCATAGGTTCCGCCCCCCGGTTCCTCTGGTTCCTCCTCAGCGGGGCTTCGCTGTTGCTGTCACCCGCGCTCTGGGGCGGACCCGGCGCCCAGCCCACGCCAGGCGGTCCTCTCAGCGCGGTCCTCTCAGCGCGCGGAGGGCGGGCCCAGCCGCAGACGGAGGGAGGGACGCGCGGAGGGGGCTGCCTGGCGGCTGCTGAGGACACACACACTGTGCCGGGCGCTGGTCCCCGGCTCCGTCACCGTGGGGACCCCATGTGGCTCGCGGCAACTCCACAGTGAGTGGTGCCGATGAGCTGTTGGGAGGTGACAGAGGTCAGAGGTCAGAGGTCATGACAGGACGCTCAGGAACACACCTGCTCACTCTCAGAATTGTGAGAGTTCAGTAGAATGTGACTTTACATGAAATCAAACCAGGTTGCTGGTGCCATAAAGTATAATTTACAAACACATCATAGAGGGGCAGCCGATTTTTTACGACAGTGATGAATGAATTTTTACGGGTTTGTGGTTTACAATACGTAGGTGGCCTTTTTGTGGTCAAGCCTTGTGTTGTTTCTTAAAATATAAAAAAAATAAAAAAATAAAAAATATTTTAAAAATATGAAAACCTTAAAAAAAAACTCACCTCACAAAAGATGAGAGAGGCAACTGTGTACGCACAGCGAACAGTCAGATGTCAGGAAAAACAGACCAGGAGTTTGGAAAGAAAGGCCCTGTGTGGGAACGGCAAGCCTCCCTGAGCCTCCGCCCAACCGTGCGTGGGGTGCGCACCGGGGGCCGGGCCGCGGGCCGCGGGGTCTCTGTGGGCGGGCGTCCTCGGGCGGACCCCAGAGCGCAGGCGGGCTCCTGCCCCTTCCCGGCCGCCTGAGCCCGGCCAGGCCTCCAGCTGGTTGTGCGGCCCAGAGCGCAGGCCCCTGGCCCTGCGTTGGCATCGAGGGCGACCGCGTCCGCGGGGAGCCCGGCGCGGGGTGCAGGCGCGGGGGCGACGCGCCCTGGGACCCCTGCGTTGCCGCAGTAGCAGCAGTGCGCCATTGCTGTTTGCATGGCCCCTGGAGCTTTGTGCCCCGGGCGACGGCCACAGGAGCTCGGGTGGGAAGGGGGGCTTGCGGTGGGCCCTGCCCCGTGCATTTCCAGGCGGCCCAGCGACCCGTCCTCCGCGACGGGGCATCGGCTGCACCCCTGCGTCTAAAACCGCTGTGTGCTCTGTTGGTTTAGGATGTCCTGGCGCCAAAAAGAATGAGTTTCTCACGAGCGTCCTGGACGCGCTGTCCACCGACATGGTCCACGCCGTCTCCGACCCCGCCTCCTCTGGCAGGTACGTGGCTCTGCCGTGGAGCGAGGGGCTGGGAGACGCCCCAGTAACGGGGGGGGGCAGCTGGGGAGAGAGGCCCGTCCCCCCTCAGTGTCCGAGGCCTGGCCGGCTGCCTGGGTGCTGGCGGGGGCCGGGGGGTCCTCTCCCAACAGGAAGGGGCCTCCTGGGTTTGCAGGTCCTCCTTTTGCAGGCTCTTTGTCATGTGACTAAACTGCTGAAGACGCGGTCCTGGTGGGGACAGGCCAGGGACCCGGAACGTCCTGGGGCCCCCTGCATGTGGGGGCGGGCGGGCGGGCGGGCGGGCGGAGAGAGGGAGGGAGGGAGCCCCAGAACGGACGGCCTGACACTTGGGGGGGCGCTTCAGAGCGATGGGCTAGGTGTTAAGTGCTGTGTATAAAAATGTCCGTTTTAAAGTTCTCAAACACGTGCCTATTGTGGGAAAACACAGGTGTAACAGAAAACCTCCCGTCTTACCCGTGTCCAGTGGTTGGTGACCGGACACTGTTCAGACTCCGGAACTGGGCGCGTTCCCACCGAAGGCCTGGGAGACCCGCCGGGGCCTCTCGTGTCCTGAGAGGCACCTGTCCGTCCGCCTGCTGCCCCTGTCGGCCGGGGCGAGGGCGGCTCCCGGGGGTCCTGAGTGAGGACCGTCCTCTGAGGGAGACCCTCCCGGCCCCCACACCCCCGGCTCCCGTTCGGGCTGGGGCTTTCTGTCCCCCCCCGCCCCCCCGCTTGCCTGGCAGTCAGGAAGGCAGACAGGCACCGACGCGGAGACTGCGACAGTCGGACAGTCAGTGACGCAGGCAGGGGCGTCGCCGGGGCCTAAAACCGCCATCTCAGTCCTTGGAAAGACGGTCTTATGTGAAAACAAGTTGAAAGCGGCCGGAGCGCCGGGCGGGGACTCGGCAGTGTCGGGGACCTGCCCGCGTGGGCGTCGGCCCCTGCCCAGCCGGGCGCATGGCGCGCCCCGAGCCCGCAGCCCCGAGGGGAGACGCAGGCTCCCCGCGGCCCCGCTCCTCCCCCTTGGGGGCGAGGCCCACGTTGTCGCTTGGGGCAGGGTCGGACCCTGACGCACACCCAGGCCGTGTCGAATAGAGAGTTTTTAATTCAAGCGAGAACGTCAGTTACCACTTTAAGACACATTTTGTTGGCCTGTCATTGTCCCCGTAACACGGTGCCCGTGTGGTCAGGGGGAGAGGCCCTGGGGGCCCAGGGTTGCAGGTGGGCGCTCACGTGCGAGCCGCCCGGCCAAGGCTGCGCCGTGCGGGCCTGGGGGCAAGGCCGCTTTCGCCCTCTGGGACTCGGCCGGCGCTGAGCGCAGAGCTGGCGCGCGCAGATGCCTGTGTGCTGTGCGACTAGGAAACCCACTTGGAGAGTTTTTGCTAAATCCCTCTCTCTGACTGACTTTTAAATGCATGTCCCACCAGGTGGCAAGCCCAGGCAGGCTGCAGCGCTGGGACCGTCCAGGGCATGCAGGGCGGCCCCGCGGGGGCGCGTGGGGGGCGGGGGCGCGGGTGGGGGCGCGGGTGGCGCCCTGACCGCCGCATGTCCCCCCAGGCTCTCCGAGCCCGACCCCAGCCACACGCTGGAGGAGAGGGTGGTCCACTGGTATTTTAAGCTCCTCGACAAAAATTCCAGTGGGGACATCGGCAAGAAGGAGATCAAGCCCTTCAAGAGGTTCCTGCGGAAGAAATCCAAACCCAAGAAGTGCGTGAAGAGGTTCGTGGAATACTGCGACGCGGACGACAACAAGGCCCTCTCCCTGCGCGAGCTGATGGGCTGCTTGGGGGTCACGCGCGAGGAGGCCAAGGCCGGCAGCGGGAAGCGGCACAGTAAGTCCCTCCCCGCCCCCGTCCCCGCCCCCGCCCCCACCCCCGCCCCCGCCCGAGCTGGCCTAGGGTCCGAGGCGGAGGGGTGCAGTCAGCGGCAGGCCGCCCGCTGGTCCGCAGGGGAGGGGGCCCGGGGCCCAGGCGGGAGGAAGGGGCAGGAGGGCCAGGGCGAAGCCGAAGGCCCGTCGCTCACAGTTCCCCCGTCCTGGCCACTGACCCAAGGCGGTGGCCTTGATGTTCGCGCCCACATCTTGGGACCGTTGGCCACGACCATGTGGCCACGTGCGTGGCTCCCAGCCACCGCGCTGGCCGTGGACAAGGAGCGAGATCCTCCTGCATGCCCGGCGCGCCCTCCCTGCGGAGCAGTGGCCCCCCCCGCTGTGGGGCGCGTTTTCGGGGGGCCTGGCCCGGGTCACCGGCTGTCGCAGCGGGAGAGCCCCCCGGTCGGCCCCGAGGGGCCTTAGCAGGGACGCGCGGGAAACGCCGCCTGCTGGCCGCGGGGGCGCTGGGAGAGCCGCGCTGCCCGGGCTTGTGTTCTCCCGTGGACGGGAGCCGGCCCGGGGCGGGCGCCGCGGTCCCCCTCGGACAAGGAGACCCGTGTGAGTTGGCTCCGCAGCGCCCGGGCGCCTCGGATGTGGCGGGTCCTGCGGGGCCGGCCCCGCTCCCGCTCAGGGCCACGCGGCTGACGGCGGCCCCGGCCGGACCCCCAGGAGGCAGCCCCCGTCAGCGGCCTCTGGCTCCTGTGTCCCTGTGCCTGTCGTCAGAGCCCCCCCGCATGGTGCCACGGAGCTGGTCGCGGGCCGGACGTGCGGGGTTGTGAAGCGTTTTTGCTTGTTTCCCGGTGAGAAGCCCGTGGGGCAGCAGCACGCGTCACCCGGGAGCCTGCGCGCAGGGCCTGCCGCCTGCCGCCCGCACACGGTCCTCAGTGCGTCCGGCCTGCGACCGGCGGCCCAGCGTGGGCCGCCCGCGCTCGGCGAGTGGGACGTGGCGCTTCCGTCCTGCACGCAGGCCCGTCCCTCTGCACTCCGATCGGGCCGGCCTTAGAGTCCGTAGTCACGGGGACTTGATGGGTGTCCGCGGGCACGTGAGGGAGGGGCCGGCCCCCGAGGGGCAGAGGCCCGTGAGGGATGCGGGGCCGGCGTGTCCACGCCGTGAACCTGCAGGCGATGCGGGGCTTGGGCAGGGACGGGGACGTCTTGTGAGCGACCACGGTCGCCGCGAGCCCCCCTCCCTGGCCGGGGGTCCCCCGGGGGTCGTGTCGCGTCTCCAGGGGCCACAGCGGCCGTGGTTCCTCCGGCTGGTGCCCCACCGGCACTGGGGTGCGCTGTGCGCTCCCTGGGGCCCGGGCTGAGGGGACGCAATTACGCGCAGAGGACCGAGCGCTGGGCCCGGGGCCCGCGCATTTGCAGGGGCAGCTGGCGCCCCGAGGTGGGGCGGGCAGTCCTCTCGCTTCCAGGGCCGCGTCCGACGCGGACGGGGTGTGTGCGCACCCTGAGGGGCGACGGGCGGGGGAGCGGGGACAGCGGGGTCCCCAGCCACCGCGGCCACTCCCTGGGAACGCTGGCCGCTGCAGGCCTGCCAGGCGTCTTCGGGTCCCCGGAGCGAACGGCGTGTCTGAGATTTACTGCCTCTCCGCCGGAGAAAACCCTCTATGACCCCGCCCCCAAACGAGCTACAATTTATGAAAAGAGATATTTTGTCAAAAATGAGTTACAGGCATTTGGAAGCACAATAAGTTGTTTCTGGAATCCTTTTATTTTCCTTGAGGAGCTTTTCTAAGTTTTTTCTTATTTTTCTTTTTTTTTCAGTTTGATTATCAGTTATTTTTTCCCATTCTGTGTAATTTGAGTCAGTGGAAGATCAGAAAAACCTAAACACTGGGGACAGAATCAGTCGGGATTTTCCGAATATCCAAACTGTTGCCAGTTTCTTCTGCTCCTTTTATGTTTGTTCATATGTAGCGATTTGTTTTTTATTCTAGAAATACGAGCAGTCAAATGAAGAACAGAAATAACTGGAACCTTTTTAGTCTCAGACATAAGCAAACCTAGATCCATGTTCTTCCAAAAACTATTTCTATGCTGCACGTGTGCATCTGTGCTGTGACTTTTATATGTGAATAGCATCACATATATTTTCTAATCACACGTAGTTTTAGCAATTACACAAGAGTTTCATTTAAATTATTGCAAGAAAAGATAAATTATTGGAAAATTTGATCTAAGCTTTGACGATTACAAAAAATGTAAAAAAAATATTGATTAAAAGCTCTTAAGAAATGATCAAGCCAAAGAAGTGAGAGACGCCCACCTCACGCCCGCCGGCTTCCCTGGCGGGGCCGCCACGGCCCAGGGCTGCGCTGAGGGGGCCGCGGCCTGCGGCCGAGCGAGCGGGCTTTCTCACCACGTCGCCACGCTGGCCGCTCTGCTCCCGTGCGGACTGCCCGCCCGGGGCCGCCCTCAGACCCTCAGGGCCGTCCGGTGCCGGTGACGTCGGCTCCCCTGTCCCCAGAGCAGGGCCAGGCGCCTGGGAAACGGCCCTCCTCCCTCGTGTTCCCTGGCGACGGGCGTTGCCTCAGGGTCCCTGTGGTGACGTGCGTTCTGCTCCGTGGACGTCAGCGGATGCCTCACCTTCCTTCCCTTTGCGCATTTTAAATAGCGGCCTCGCTCCTGTGCCTGGAACGAAACATCGCGCCAGGTGGCGTGAATGGAATGTGTACTTTCCACCTTTGGCGCGCGGTTTTCCCTCTCCTCTCAGCGCCGCGGAAAACTAGCGTCTGCTCCCGTAGCCTTGAGTCCGCAGCTGCCCCCCAGGACCGGGGAGGCCGGTGCTCGTCCCGAATGAAACTGAGCAAGAGCTGCCCGGTGCCGAGCAGCCAGACCGGCTCAGCACGGACTCGGAGCCGTCGCCGTGCGGGTTCTCCAAACGCGACCCAGGCCCCGAGGCCACACGCTCAGCGAGGCGGTCGTTTCACGGAGAGCAAAGCGTCACAGTTACCCCGGTTCTTGAACCGTTCAGACCTACAATTGAAAGAGTAGCCCCCTTATCTACTAGCTAGTAAAGCCTTTGCATTTCAGTGCCTTTGCGTTCGGCCTTTTCGCGTGACTGTTGGCTTTGTCACAGCCAGCGAACAAGGAGGCGGCACGTGGGGCGATTTGCTCTGTGCTGCTTTTGATCCCATTGCTCGACGTCAGCAGTCAGTCAGGTGTTTCAGGGGAAACCCTGCCCCTCGTGAACTGATTTGTTCAAAGGGTACTTGTCGAGGGCTCCCTGACCTAAAACTGACAAGAGAGGGGTAAACGGACAAAGCCCAGGCCCTTGCGGGGCTTCGGGGCGAGAGCGGAAGCAAGAGGCGGCGGGGCTGGGGCGGCGGCGGGGGCGGGGCCGGGGCCAGGGCTCAGGTGCGCGTGTCCACTGTCTCACACGTGACCCAACACATGTGACACTTGGGTCGGGAGTCCGAGGCGGAGCTGAGGGGAGTGTCCTATCTCGGGGACAGCGGGGCCCAGGGGGAGCTGGGCCTGGAGGGCTGGGTGCGGAGGGGACGGCAGGTGGATGGGCTTGGCTCTGAACAAAGGGTCCTCGGGGGTCCGACCGGGAAGACTGATGGGGCACCAGAGGTTGCACCGCGGAGGCCAGGCAGGCCGCCGTCGGGGGCGTCGGGGTGTCTAGAGTTAAAACCAGGAGGCAGGGAGGCCGGAGCCTGGGGGTGGGGGAGGGGGAGGCCCGGGGCTGCTGGGGACCTGGATTTTTGTGCTGGGGACAGGAAGGGCTGGAGCCCAGGAGTGCCCAGGGCCACCCCAGGCCATGGGAGCCCAGGAGGGGGAGGGGCGGACGGCAGCCCCCCGGGGAAGGAGGCTGAAGCACCCGCAAGGAGGCTGTGCGCCTGGCCCACCTGCCCCTCCCGCTCCGTCCCCCAGGGCCACGAGTGAAGCCGCACCACGGGCGCCCCGCATCTTCCACCTGCCCCAGCTCCCGCTCCCCTGGGAAAAGCTGTTCTCAGCCAGACATGGTCATGTCTCACGATTTAAATAGGAAATCAAAAGGTTTCAGGAGGCGGCGTGGTGCCCAGGGCCGCGTTCCCGGACTCCCGGGCGGCGCCCCCTCCTGGGGACGTTGGAGAAGCACGACTGGCCGCACCTTGGTGGGCGCCTTGGGAATGGTGACGGGAGGGGGGCCCTCACGCCCCCTCACGCGGGACGTGAGCGCTTGTCCTGTGAGCAGGGTGTGCGCCGGCAGGTCAGCCGGCGTCGGCCGCACCGAGGGGGCGCAGGCCCCTCCCCGGGAAGTGCCTGAACCTTCCCCTGGAGGCGCGGGGCGCCCCGTCTAATCGTTTCTGTTTCTTTCCCCCTTCCAGCCCCTAGAGCTAACGCGGAGAGCACTTCTAATAGACAGGTGAGTCTGTCTTTTAACCTTAATCATTTGCTGGCTTATTTATAGGCAGTAAAAACTCAGGGTTCTATAGATGTGGGAAAGAAAGTACCTGCCAAGAAAAAAGAGAAGGAGACAACGCAGGTGAGGCAGTGCCCGCCCCTGAGCGCCCGAGGGGCCCCGGCTTCCGGCCGCAGGGCGGTCGGGAGGGACACTCCGGCCCCGTGCGTTCTCTCCACTGTTAGAAGTCCCAGGGATGTTTAGAACAACATCTGAGTCCTCTTGTTTTGTTGGAATAAATGCTGTTTGTACACAGTTCTCCAGAGGCTCGTGATGCGTCTGCACAGTCTCTTTAAGGAGCCGGCGGGACGGGCCCCGGGGTGTCTAGGTGAGCGGCCCCTTTTCATCAAGGGCCCTAATGAGGTGCACGCCTCGCCCCGAGGGGTTTGCCGGCCCCGCTGGGTGGTACAGACGGCCCAGCGCTGGGGGGCCGCACCTCTTCCCGCGCAATTACAGGTGATTACGGCCCCCGCGCCGTCCCCCCGCCCCCACAGTCTAGAACGTTCTCCAGAAGGGAAACAGGAGTGGGACCGTTTCCCTCCCTCAGAGCCGGGAAAACCCTGCTTCTGCAG